TAGACGGCTTCTCTGATTAGGAAATAAGAAAAAGGCTATATTTTGTTTTTTGGTCATTTTGTGCCGAGGTCGTCGGAAGCGGAGCCCCCCGGAGCCCTAGGTGAGACCGAGCGAAACAGGACCAGAGCGGGACGAGGACTGGAGCGAGACTGGAGCGGGACTGATGCGGGACAAGGACTGGAGCGGAGCGGGACTAAGGTACAGGTTAGTGGTAGGATTAGGTGGGGGCCCCCCTGTCGAGACTCTTCGTGGAGTCTGGGAGTGACTGCTCTTTTCAGAGCGGCGCCCCCTTGATTCTACGAATTGAGTGTTAGACTTGGTGGCTTGTACGGTTTTGCCTTGGCATTTCCGTCCCAGCGGTATAGGCACGAGGTGTGTGCCCCCTTGCAAAAGGTAGGGTGATCCTGCGCTTATTAGTGCGGTGATCCCCGGAGCCCTATGCGACGGGGGGCCCCCTCAATAACCTATCTGGGCTGAGTTGTGGCACGGTTGTCTCGGACGTGGCACTCTTCGCATGAGCGATCCCAAATCTTTTGATTTGGTTGATCCTCGTGTTGCGAATTGAGGACCCCCGGAGCACCCACTGCGCGCCCCCTTGGACCAAGGAAATTCGAACTACGCAAATTAGTTCGGGGCGAAATCTGTCATAGGGCGATCTCACACTTGAGTGATTGAATCCCCTATATAGACGATTTCTATAAGAGTCTTGAAGAAGGCCCCCTTGATTGATTCGTAGTCGAACACTGAAGACTCCTGAAACTTCCTGTGCGCTCCCTTATATTAAGGGTTGTTCGGAGTTCTTCAGGTGCGCCCCCTTGATCTAAAGGAATACTGTTTTAGTGTCCATACATAACCGATGACGTGTGGGTGATCTCGTTTGTACGATTGACTCCCCGCATCGCTACGCAGATTTGCGTACGCTCACCTAGCGATCGGACAAGTTAGCACTTCAGTAGCCAGTAGCAAAGCCCTCTAGGTTTAAGATTACTAACCAACTGTATTCTAGCCATGGAGTCGGAAACAAGCTCCGCAATCCCAGTAGAGGTCGAGAATAGGAACAATTTAGTGTTCATAGACGTTCCCCTGACAGTAAGATTTCATTGCGAGGCGTGCCAAGGAGCACCAAAACATTTCAGTAGCCATAATGGGCTACTTAGGCACCACAGAAATACGCATAACAGAAATGCATCCTTAAAATTCCGTTGCCGATGCTGTAAGGAAGAATTTTACACGTTGAAGCAAGCAACAAGGCATGTGTCAAGAAACAATACATGCCGAAACGAGACGGAAGGAATTGTAGAAAACGACGCCGCGTCCTATGTCGCTCAACGCGTTCGGCGAACGCGTTCCAATTCAAGCGATAGCGAGATAACGAATAATGACACATCAGCTTCACGACCAACAAATGTCCTGCCCACAATTCCAGAAGGAATACCGGCAGGAGCTAGTCTGAATAGTGTAGAGTTTGCTGAAGAAAGGCAAGAGGAAAGACCTTTAACCATATTACAGGTGGAGATGGCAGCTGCACTTAACAAAGTAAACGACCCAGAGCAATTTGAGTCTCTGTTAGACGCCTTATACACCAGACTGACCTCTAAGAACGATGAACAGCCGGCAATTTTAGAACAACCAAGACCGCGGAGTCAATATGAAAGGCGTCGCAGAAATAGGACCAACGAGTTCGATCCGGCGGTAGCAGCCAGATTACAAAAATTGTACCGCCGGAATAGGAAACGAGCCTACAGACAAGTGACAGAAGAGAATTCCAATGGCCGCTGCGTAATAAATACTGAACAACTGTTTCAACATTTTCTGGCTACGTACGGAGAAACGGGACACGTAACTACTGACATTCCAGAGGTGGTTCCAACACTAGAAGCCGCTACATGTGATAACCCGCTGATTTCCAGATTCACGCCGGATGAGATATGGAAAAGACTGAACAGGTGCAAGGATACCGCGCCAGGTCCTGACGGCATCCGGTACAACGTGTGGAAAAAGATAGACCCGGGAAGTTATATTGCTGCTGCCGTGTTCAACACAGCACGAAGATTAGACTACACTCCCCGGAATTGGAACCAGTCAGAGACGGTATTAATACCAAAGAAAGGCGACCCAATGGACATATCAAATTGGAGGCCGATTGCGCTCTCCAATACACTTGGGAAACTATATGCGTCAACGATCGCAGGTAGATTGGCGCAATGGGCCATCGAAAACAATCGCATATCGCCTTCCCAGAAAGGATTTATGCCATTCGAAGGATGCAGCGAGCATAATTTTCTTCTACAAACTATTGTACAGGATGCCCGTCGAAGGAAAACAGAAGCATGCGTGGCGTGGCTGGATCTCAGAAATGCATTCGGATCTGTGCCACACTCGACTCTGTTCAAAGCTTTGCAATGGACGGGTCTCGGAACAGAATCCATTGCTATTATCAAACGGGTATATCAAGAATGTACTACCAAGATCAAATCTAGCAATGGCATGACTGAGGAGATACCGATACGAGCAGGAGTGAAACAAGGATGCCCGCTATCTCCAATTATTTTCAACCTGGCACTGGAACCATTACTTCGCACACTAAAGGAATCAGAGGAAACATATAAAGTGGGAAGCCAGAAAGTAAATGTTTTGGCATACGCCGATGACATAGTTCTAGTGGCAACATCAGAAAGCGGCCTACAAAAGCTGTTAGATCTAACGCTGGAAATTTCAGATTGGGCAGGACTAAAATTCAATCCAAATAAGTGCGCCACTCTACATGTGGATGGCAAAAATCACGCGGCCTCGCCTACCAAGTTTCGGTTAGGCAGCAATGAATTAAAATCCCTGACCAGCGAAGAAAGCTACGAATATTTGGGCGTCCCCACGGGATTCCAGACATTTAGATCGGCGGAAGATGTCATTGAAAATATGATGAAACATTTGGACAGAATCGACAAGGCACCATTAGCACCATGGCAAAAATTTGACGCAGTTAATACCTTTATCGTGCCGCAGATTGAATTCCACCTGCGCAACGGAAGTGTGGCAAAGAAAGCGCTAAATAGCTATGATAAAAAAGTCAAGAAATGCGCCAAAAAATGGGCTAATCTCCCTCAGAGAGCAAGTGCGGAGATACTGTACATTCCGTACAAGGAAGGAGGCTTTAACATGTTGCCCACAAGCGTGCTTGCCGACATTGCACAGATAGTCCACGCCACAAGAATTATGACATCGAGGGATGAAGCACTAGCAAAGTCAAGCTTGGACGCACTGAAAGAAGTTGTACGAAAAAGAACCGGAACAGAACCGACAACACAACTGATGACGGAATACTTAAATTCCTCATTTGAAGGCGTACTAGGCAAACCGGCGAACGATATCACGTCTGTGTGGTCAAGAGTAAGGGCGGCTGTACGCCGACTAAAAATGAAAATAAATGTCCGGCTAGAACTCGAAGCACTGTATGTGGACGATGAGAAGGTTGAAAGAAAGAATGCCGAAATGAAACTCAGAACTGCGGCGAGAAAATTCTACCTGAAGCAGCTACTGGCTAAGCCCGACCAAGGGAAAGCATTTGATATTATTTCAGCGTATAACTCATCGAACCACTTCATGCGGGATGGAAAGTTTACGCGATTTGCAGAGTGGAGGTTCGTACACAGAGCGAGGCTGAATGTCGTGCCCCTCAATGGTTGCAGAAGACATGGGCAAGGCGATAAAAAGTGTCGCAGATGCGGAGATTCCAACGAGACCTTACCTCATGTACTAAATCACTGCCGCCCCCACTTCACTACAATGACGAAGCGGCATGATGCGATTGTGAACCGGCTCGTTAAAGCTGCCAAGAAGCCCGACGATGGTATTATATACCAAAACCAGCAGATACCTGGATACTCTGGACTCGAAAGGCCTGATATTGTGATAGTTGACGAAGGCAAAAAAGAAGTCAAAATCGTCGACGTCACGGTGGCCTTCGAAAATAAGAAGGCAGCATTTGAGAAGGCACGAGCTGAGAAAATCCGAAAATACTCAGCACTGGCAGAATACTTCAAAAAGAAAGAATATAAAACGGAACTGAATGCTTTCGTGCTTGGGTCCCTCGGAGGATACTCCCCAGAGAATGTGGGAACATTGATATCACTAGGAATAGGGAAGAAATACTGTGTACTAATGAAAAAGCTAATGGTTAGCGACACGATCAGATGGTCCCGAGATATTTACATCGAACACATAACGGGCCACAGACAGTACACAAGCTAAATATTTATGTCCGCCCTCCACAGGAATAACAGCTATTAAAATAGCACCACTTAATAAAATCATTGATATAATTGGCATGTTACTAATTATATTAACTTGCATTTCATAACTTGCATGTATACTAACTTAAGCTCACTTAGTTTACTATTACTAATAAGTACTAACTTTGCATGTTATAAACTTATTAAGTTGAATGATAACTCTTAAACTAACCTTAATCCTTTAGATCTATATGTATACTAACCCTAAGCTTAAGTAGTTTACTGATTACAATTACTAGATAATAACTAATTATTTTGCATGCTATTCTAACAACATAATATTAAGTTGCACGATAACTTTCACTTATCTAACCTTAATATGTATTAATTGGCATGTATACTAATATTAATCTTAACCTCTTATATATTATTGGTGTTGGTGCTTAAGTATCGAATATTAACCTCTAGAAATAATTGAAGTTGCATGTTGCTATGAATAATGGCTTGCGCATGAAATTATGCAACCAGTACTGAAATATGTATAAATAACCTAAATGTTCCAGTTATTTCAACTGAACATATCTAATTTTTTACCTTCCATTCCAGACATGGCATGGACTCGGATCGCGTCGCTGGCGGTTTCATGATCTACGTTTACTATATTTTTCTCATATTTCAGCTTAAATACGCGTTGCCCATGTTCAAAGTCACTCAGAAATTGAGTGGTAATGTTCATGATTATGCAACGGACAATAAAGCGTTTAGAGGTGAAATTCTTTATGGTTAAGACTAAAGTATTCACTAAAAAACTACAAAATCTGTTCTTATCAGCTTAATATCTGATAGTATCTGCATAGCAGATCCAGTATATTAAACTGATTTTTGGAAATTGGCGGAATGTCAGGGGCTTGCTCCGCTTCCGCCGCGGGTTGGCCCGGTATTGCAGTACCGCCGGGATCGGCCCATAAAAAACCATCATATAATAATAAATTTAAAAATGTGCATATATTGCATATTAAATATATATATATATATATAAATATATATAAATATATTGATATGTAATATCGATAATTGATTTCAAATTAACTATATAAATTAATTATATAAAAACTATAGAATTAATAATAAAATAAAAAAATATATAAAGCTATACAAATCTAACAAAAGATTATATATAACGATAATAGGATTGAAAAATTTTGCAAGTGTCAGAAAATACTTCATATAAATATGACAAAAAATGAGTTTAATATATATAAGTATGAACACACATCTATCGATAAAGAAATTAATATGAATATGAGCGTCTGTTCTCCCAATAACATATTTTTTTGAAAAATTTTGCAAGTGTCAGAAAATACTTTATATAAATATGACGATAAAATGAGTTTAATATATATAAGTATGAACACACATCTATCGATAAAGAAATTAATATGAATATGAGCGTCTGTTCTCCTAATAACATATTTTTTTGAAAAATTTTGCAAGTGTCAGAAAATACTTCATATAAATATGACAAAAAATGAGTTTAATATATATAAGTATGAACACACATCTATCGATAAAGAAATTAATATGAATATGAGCGTCTGTTCTCCTAATAACATATTTTTTTGAAAAATTTTGCAAGTGTCAGAAAATACTTTATATAAATATGACGATAAAATGAGTTTAATATATATAAGTATGAACACACATCTATCGATAAAGAAATTAATATGAATATGAGCGTCTGTTCTCCTAATAACATATTTTTTTGAAAAATTTTGCAAGTGTCAGAAAATACTTTATATAAATATGACAAAAATGAGTTTAATATATATAAGTATGAACACACATCTATCGATAAAGAAATTAATATGAATATGAGCGTCTGTTCTCCTAATAACATATTTTTTTGAAAAATTTTGCAAGTGTCAGAAAATACTTTATATAAATATGACGATAAAATGAGTTTAATATATATAAGTATGAACACACATCTATCGATAAAGAAATTAATATGAATATGAGCGTCTGTTCTCCTAATAACATATTTTTTTGAAAAATTTTGCAAGTGTCAGAAAATACTTTATATAAATATGACGATAAAATGAGTTTAATATATATAAGTATGAACACACATCTATCGATAAAGAAATTAATATGAATATGAGCGTCTGTTCTCCTAATAACATATTTTTTTGAAAAATTTTGCAAGTGTCAGAAAATACTTTATATAAATATGACGATAAAATGAGTTTAATATATATAAGTATGAACACACATCTATCGATAAAGAAATTAATATGAATATGAGCGTCTGTTCTCCTAATAACATATTTTTTTGAAAAATTTTGCAAGTGTCAGAAAATACTTATATAAATATGACAATAAAATGAGTTTAATATATATAAGTATGAACACACATCTATCGATAAAGAAATTAATATGAATATGAGCGTCTGTTCTCCTAATAACATATTTTTTTGAAAAATTTTGCAAGTGTCAGAAAATACTTTATATAAATATGACGATAAAATGAGTTTAATATATATAAGTATGAACACACATCTATCGATAAAGAAATAATATGAATATGAGCGTCTGTTCTCCTAATAACATATTTTTTTGAAAAATTTTGCAAGTGTCAGAAAATACTTCATATAAATATGACAAAAAATGAGTTTAATATATATAAGTATGAACACACATCTATCGATAAAGAAATTAATATGAATATGAGCGTCTGTTCTCCTAATAACATATTTTTTTGAAAAATTTTGCAAGTGTCAGAAAATACTTTATATAAATATGACGATAAAATGAGTTTAATATATATAAGTATGAACACACATCTATCGATAAAGAAATTAATATGAATATGAGCGTCTGTTCTCCTAATAACATATTTTTTTGAAAAATTTTGCAAGTGTCAGAAAATACTTTATATAAATATGACGATAAAATGAGTTTAATATATATAAGTATGAACACACATCTATCGATAAAGAAATTAATATGAATATGAGCGTCTGTTCTCCTAATAACATATTTTTTTGAAAAATTTTGCAAGTGTCAGAAAATACTTTATATAAATATGACAATAAAATGAGTTTAATATATATAAGTATGAACACACATCTATCGATAAAGAAATTAATATGAATATGAGCGTCTGTTCTCCTAATAACATATTTTTTTGAAAAATTTTGCAAGTGTCAGAAAATACTTTATATAAATATGACGATAAAATGAGTTTAATATATATAAGTATGAACACACATCTATCGATAAAGAAATTAATATGAATATGACCGTCTGTTCTCCTAATAACATATTTTTTTGAAAAATTTTGCAAGTGTCAGAAAATACTTTATATAAATATTTTTGTAAAATTTTACAAATGTGAGAAAAGGCTTATAACGACAGTAGAGTTAACAGCCATATTAGAACATTCGCTCATAGAACTTTGGGGGGTGAAGAATAGTTAGGGAATGGACGCGAGAGTTGATAAAAATAGATGAAAAATGAATCGTTGAAATAGTTGGGAATATTTTGTTTATATTGTAGAATTTAAAAAATAGTATTTGTCCGCAAATTTATCGCTTCTCGGCCGAATGGCTAAGATCAAAGTGTAGTATCTGTTCTTATCAGCTTAATATCTGATAGTATCTGCATAGCAGATCCAGTATATTAAACTGATTTTTGGAAATTGGCGGAATGTCAGGGGCTTGCTCCGCTTCCGCCGCGGTTGGCCCGGTATTGCAGTACCGCCGGGATCGGCCCATAAAAAACCATCATATAATAATAAATTTAAAAATGTGCATATATTGCATATTAAATATATATATATATATAATATATATAAATATATTGATATGTAATATCGATAATTGATTTCAAATTAACTATATAAATTAATTATATAAAAACTATAGAATTAATAATAAAATAAAAAAATATATAAAGCTATACAAATCTAACAAAAGATTATATATAACGATAATAGGATTGAAAAATTTTGCAAGTGTCAGAAAATACTTCATATAAATATGACAAAAAATGAGTTTAATATATATAAGTATGAACACACATCTATCGATAAAGAAATTAATATGAATATGAGCGTCTGTTCTCCCAATAACATATTTTTTGAAAAATTTTGCAAGTGTCAGAAAATACTTATATAAATATGACGATAAAATGAGTTTAATATATATAGTATGAACACACATCTATCGATAAAGAAATTAATATGAATATGAGCGTCTGTTCTCCTAATAACATATTTTTTTGAAAAATTTTGCAAGTGTCAGAAAATACTTCATATAAATATGACAAAAAATGAGTTTAATATATATAAGTATGAACACACATCTATCGATAAAGAAATTAATATGAATATGAGCGTCTGTTCTCCTAATAACATATTTTTTTGAAAATTTTGCAAGTGTCAGAAATACTTTATATAAATATGACAATAAAATGAGTTTAATATATATAAGTATGAACACACATCTATCGATAAAGAAATTAATATGAATATGAGCGTCTGTTCTCCTAATAACATATTTTTTTGAAAAATTTGCAAGTGTCAGAAAATACTTTATATAATATGACGATAAAATGAGTTTAATATATATAAGTATGAACACACATCTATCGATAAAGAAATTATATGAATATGAGCGTCTGTTCTCCTAATAACATATTTTTTTGAAAAATTTTGCAAGTGTCAGAAAATACTTCATATAAATATGACAAAAAATGAGTTTAATATATATAAGTATGAACACACATCTATCGATAAAGAAATAATATGAATATGAGCGTCTGTTCTCCTAATAACATATTTTTTGAAAAATTTTGCAAGTGTCAGAAAATACTTTATATAAATATGACGATAAAATGAGTTTAATATATATAAGTATGAACACACATCTATCGATAAAGAAATTAATATGAATATGAGCGTCTGTTCTCCTAATAACATATTTTTTGAAAAATTTGCAAGTGTCAGAAAATACTTCATATAAATATGACAAAAAATGAGTTTAATATATATAAGTATGAACACACATCTATCGATAAAGAAATTAATATGAATATGAGCGTCTGTTCTCCTAATAACATATTTTTTTGAAAAATTTTGCAAGTGTCAGAAAATACTTTATATAAATATGACGATAAAATGAGTTTAATATATATAAGTATGAACACACATCTATCGATAAAGAAATTAATATGAATATGAGCGTCTGTTCTCCTAATAACATATTTTTTTGAAAAATTTTGCAAGTGTCAGAAAATACTTCATATAAATATGACAAAAAATGAGTTTAATATATATAAGTATGAACACACATCTATCGATAAAGAAATTAATATGAATATGAGCGTCTGTTCTCCTAATAACATATTTTTTTGAAAAATTTTGCAAGTGTCAGAAAATACTTTATATAAATATGACGAAAAATGAGTTTAATATATATAAGTATGAACACACATCTATCGATAAAGAAATTAATATGAATATGAGCGTCTGTTCTCCTAATAACATATTTTTTTGAAAAATTTTGCAAGTGTCAGAAAATACTTATATAAATATGACAAAAAATGAGTTTAATATATATAAGTATGAACACACATCTATCGATAAAGAAATTAATATGAATATGAGCGTCTGTTCTCCTAATAACATATTTTTTTGAAAAATTTTGCAAGTGTCAGAAAATACTTTATATAAATATGACGATAAAATGAGTTTAATATATATAAGTATGAACACACATCTATCGATAAAGAAATTAATATGAATATGAGCGTCTGTTCTCCTAATAACATATTTTTTTGAAAATTTTGCAAGTGTCAGAAAATACTTTATATAAATATGACGATAAAATGAGTTTAATATATATAAGTATGAACACACATCTATCGATAAAGAAATTAATATGAATATGAGCGTCTGTTCTCCTAATAA